GAATTAGCACTTTGGGGAGCTGCATCAGTGATGCGAAAGATAAATTTCATCTTTTTTCATAATGAAGAAACAGATAACAATGAAGAACAGAAAAGGGAGTTTCTATTTAAAAATTATAAGTTTTTCCTGAAAGAAGAAGCTGAACAATTATAATAACAGACCAAAACAACAAAGGTATAATTTAAGAAATCTTTTGAGTTCGAAAAATACCTGAGCATTGCACAACGATGTGAATGTACTTACCGCTGAACCACACAATTAAAATGGTTAAGACAGTAAGTTTTACGTTATGCGCATTTCGCCACAATAAAAAAAAAAACACCCTGAGTTTGAAGATTGAAATGTCTCATTATATGGTAACTGAAACATCAGTTTTAATAAAGACTCACAAAATAGAAAATCCTGGGGAAAACCATTTCAAATAGGACAAAGCAAAGATTTATATAATTACATAGGCAGAAAAAATTAAGTGCAAGAGGACAGAAACTAAAAGGGCTCCCCTGGATGAGCCTTCAAAGGCGCCTGTGTAACACTAAACGCAGAAGGCAATGAGGCAATCGCAGTTCCGTGTCACGAACAAAGAGCATATTCTGAGAATGCTGTAGCCACATTTGAGTCCTACATGTAAAAAGATGATACAGGTCTTCTCAGATATGCCAAGGCAAAGACAATGAACCACCCTGAAAACATTTTTGAAAAAATAATAAATCTTGTTAGAAGACAAACTCCTCTCTACAGAAAGGTAAAAGTCAAGGACTCACAAAATGGGGAAGTTTTGGTCTAAAATGACGTACGCCTGCTCTGTAGAGTCAGCCAACTCACCACGAGGGCGCTAGAAGAGTCCTCACCTCAGAAAACAGTATCTGAGTCATCTGGGCACACTAATTGATACCCAAAAACAGGCTCGGTCCCTTCGACAACGCATCTTCATAAAGATGAAAATTAAATTATTTGGTTATGAATTTTAAATCTCTCGTTGTGGGACTGGGCACAAAATATTTCTCCGAGCAACAAACATCAAGAAAAATGTACAACTGTATTTTGAAGTCCAATTACATATAACTCTATCAGTGTTTAAAAACCAAATACACACCCGGAAAAGTGACTGGAAAAAAATAAAAATGATAATGTGATTGTCTTTGGGTAGTCAAAGTAGGTATGGGTATTTTTTCTTTTTTCAACATTCTACAGTTTCCAAATATTCTTTAATGAACTCAGGTTATTTTTTTATGAAACATAAACTTTTTATTACAAAATCATAAAAACACACTTTCTGTTTCTAAATGGCAGAAAGAGGGCTCTAACCAGACCTGCTTAGACCCATAGCCAGCAGCCACAACCACCGCAGGACAACGCCTATCGCCCTGGACATGGTGGTCCTGGCTGACTCCCAACGCCCAACCGGCCACACAGCCTGTGTCTGACAGTGGAAACAAACAAATCTGATTATTATTCTCCGCAGCTCCCCCAGCCCTGTGCCATTGAAGATATCACAGAGCATTAAAAGACTGAAGAAACTGAAGAGTTATTGCTACAGACTTCCCAGGGAACAGCAGACCCAGCGACCGCCAGGCCAGGGAGGAGGAACCTCGTCGGGGAGCCGCAGACAGCGTCTGGCGCATACCTTTGCCTGGGCGTCCCCTGGGTCATCTCCCTTGGAAGCCAGCAGCATGAGTCGCAGGACCAGGGTGATGCTGAGAGGGAACTGTCCTCTCAGCTCAGGAACGTTGGATTTTATGAGTTTTCCAATTTTGGGGAATGGAATATCAAAGAAGTATACGTCTCCTAGCAGGTCTTGACCTCTTCTCCCAGCGCGACCAGACATCTGGAAACAGAACAGAACCACAATACGTAAGTTCCCTAAACGCTTCTACTACCATGGAGAGAACTGAATCTTCACATTGGTTTGGAGCAAGTAAATTGTGTGTCTGTCCAACCGTTACTCAACTGAGACTAGTATCCCACCATGTCGTGCTTAGCAAATTTACCGTGACTGAGACAGCTTAAACACGAGACAGTTATCATTACTACGCACTTATTTCACCCCGTTAATTGCACTAGGTCTTTATGTAACGGTATCTGGAAGAAACAAAGAGCAGTAATAGCAAAAGGCTGATTTCAAGTTCTCTGACAGCTGAACTCTGACACCCCAATCTCCTGTCCTCCCCTCACCCTCTCTCGCCCCCTCTTTCCCGCGCTCTTGCACAGAAGCGTGCTAAGTCACAAATCTCAAAATAAAAGCTGTGTACAAATCAAGAAAATACACAAGTGAGATAAAATTCAGAAACACTACTCGTAAAAAGCAAGTTAAGAACAAACTCTTTCCAGAGGTTATATTAATTCTCCTTTGTTAAGTGCTTAGGTTGTACCAAGGCCCCAGGAAAACGGGAAACTCGTCCGCGGTCAAACGCCTCAAACTGGAAGATCCAGGACTCAAACCCTGGCGTTCCGAGTCCCAAATCCATCATCCCAGACATCACAGTATCCTCACGCCATAGCCCCACATAGAAGATTCCTGAAGGTAAGACAGGAGGATTTGTGCAAAATATAGCAGCAAGAGTGGAAATGAAAGACAGGGCTTTGGTGTTGGGCAGGAACAAGGCCGATGAACAAGGAGAAGAATAAAAAGTGTTTGGAGAGAAAAGGAGGGGCACTGTGATAAAAGCTTGGATGTGGATGACGTATCTGAATTTGATGCTGCCAGAAGAAATATGTGTGAAATTGCCCCGAGCAAGCAGACGTCTGAAGACAAACGGCACTGCCTGCAGGACACGTGGGAGGATCGGAGAAGAGCAACTGCTCCGGCGTACAAGGCCAGGCGCACACAGAGCCTGCGAGGCACCAATCAAACACCCCAGGGCAGAGTCCTGAAGGGGACTTGGTGGCAGGTCGTGAGTCAGGAGCAGAGAAGAGGAAGCATTAAAGACGACCCCGAGTGCAAAACCCTGTGCACAGCAAATGGACAAGCGAATGTTTTTGTGCTCAGCTGTGTGCGCCTTTCACGCGTACCTCTCTCACAAATCACTTTCCGTGATTCTTGCAAATGCCGTGGGATAGTGACCATGACCCAATTCTGGAGACAGGAAAGGCGGCTCAGGCAGTTTAGACCCCTCATCTGAGTTCACCCGTCTGGATAGCGGCGGTCACATACACCAAACTCCTGCTTTCAACTACATCACAGCTAAAAGGGGCAGCCAGGCACGGGCGAGTGCCAGGGCGTACCGCCGCGAATTGTAGCATGTTTTAAACCAAAGGTTCATGGTTTTTTACTATTTTATTGCTATATTTTAGCAATACGATAAGCAAGTTTATACATAGGGCAATACCTGTCTATAGTTTAAAGCATCCAGATAGACTGAGTTTTGAGCAAACACCACAGATTTACAAGGCATGTTGATCCCCAAAGCAAGTGTTCCAGTAGCTGTCACCACCTAGAAAGAGAA